TATAAATTTCTGCGTATTCACATAAGGCATCTGGGACTTTCCTGTTAAAATTGCTCCGACCCCATTGAATTGAGGAACATCCAAATTCCTTTACTAAATCAGGTTGGCTTGATAATATACATTTGTTTTTATACCCTGTACCCGTAGGGTAAAAATGGTATATTAGGTTTGTGCAAAGTATGTAACATATAGAAGGAAGCATCTCCGACCCCATAAAGTATATATATTCTTGATCAGCATGACGAGAGAAATCGATCTAGACATGTCCGTCCGTCTGTCTGGATGAACGCGAGGATCTCAGAAACTATAAAAGCTAGAATAACCAAAGTTGGCATCCAGATTCTCCTAGGTCCGAGTAAGGACGAGTTTATGTTTTTTTTTTTTAATTCCCCCCCCCCCCCCCCCCCTTCCCCCGCTATAGAATTTCGTCAATAGCGTCCACATTTCAAATGCTACCTAAACCAAACTTTGCACACATAATTTATATATAATGGTCTACTGTTGTATAAAATTTTATTCAATTCGGTCAGTTCTAAGAAAAGTTATTAGCAAAACAAATCCTCGCCAGCACAACCCCCCCAAACTGCAGCAGCAAGTTCGCTCTTCTTCTTCCTCTTTTTGCTGCTGCTATGGGCGCATATAACTCAGTGACGGAAGTTTACCTGGGTACAGGGTATTACACTGTCGGGCTTGCTCGACTGTAGCGTTCTCTCTTGTTTTATACTCTGTACATGAAATGTACAAGAGTATATTAGGTTTGCGCGTGCTGAAATATGTCAATACGCAAAAAATGTGTATTTTTAAATTTCCCTCCCTTTCCCCTAGCGCCCGTAATCACTGATTATCCATAACTCCCGTATTTCTGGGAGTTTTTCATTAAAATTTAGCAAAACTGCCCAGTTAGTGATTATAGGGATTAGGGATGTTATAGCTATATATACAAGGTGGGTTCCAAGGTAAACAGGACTTTTTGAATCTAGCGCCCCTGGTGGCGCTATCTATATGTCGACTGGTGCGTTAGAATCTGCTATCTTTATCGATTGTCCAGTGAGAATTTCATGACATTTCATCGATTGGAAGTGAAGTTATTGCGTTTTAAGTGTCAGTATGTTTGTGTTAACGGTGCGAAAATAAGCTAGAGCCAACATTAAATTTTGTTTTAAAATTGGTAAAAATTTTACCGAAACGTTTCAATTGATGGAACAAGTTAATGGCGATGATTGCCTATCCCGTAGCAGAGTGCACGAGTGGTTTCAACGTTTTCAAAGTGGTCGTGAGGACATAAATGTGGGCCAAGCAAAATTCGGGATCGCCAAAAATTCCATCGAAACTGTGCGTGAATTCATCATAAATCAGCCAAAATCATCATTGAAACTGATGGAAATGGAATTGAACATCTCCAAAACATCGATTTATTGCATTTTGACCGAACATTTGGGCACGGTTTGTTCCGCACAAATTGACTGACGACCAAAAATTGCTCTCATCGATCGACGCTTGTGACCGATTATTTGACCTAAAATCACATTTTAACCACCGTGCGACTTCTATCTTCTCGGAAAAATGCATTTGCTCATGAAAGGAAAGCGTTTTGCAGACGTAGAGGCCATTCAAAAGGCTTGCACCGGCATACTGGCGGCCATACCGGCCAACGAGCTAATACACTCGTTCGACATGCTTTTAGATTGTGCAAAAAGCTGTATTGAAGCAGAAAGAGACTATTTTAAATTAAATAAATTGATTTTGCCGAAAAAACCATTTGTTCTGTTTTTATACTCTGTACATGAAATGTACAAGAGTATATTAGGTTTGCGGGAGCTGAAAAATGTAACAGGCAGAAGGAGGCGTGGCAGACCCCACAAAGTATATATATTCTTGATCAGCATGACGAGACGAGTCGATCTAGCCCTGTCTGTCTGTCTGTCCGTCTGTCCGTCCGTATGAACACCTGGATCTCAGAGACTATAAGAGATAGAGACACCAAATTTTGTAATATATATATATATATATATATGTATGCACATTACATATGTATGTATGTATTTTATGTAGATACATGTTTATGTATGTACATACATACTCTATATATATAAAACAGTTTGTCCTGACTGACTGACTGGCAATCAACGCACAGCCCAAACGGTAAGAGCTAGGAAGCTGAAATTTGGGCTCATGTATCCTATCATGGTGTAGATGCGCACTAAGAAGGGATTTTGGAGCTCCAAAGGGGGGAAAAGTAGCTCCAAAGTTTGTTTAAAAATTCTGCATTTCTGAATCGATCAACTTTAAATTTGGTTTTTATAATCTATAAAAGAATATAAACAAAACTGCATACTCGGTTTTTCGAAATTTGTGTTGGAGCTTGAATTATTGGGGTTTTAATATTTATTCATTTTTTCAAATGAAAAGTTTGTGGTATAAATTTCGTCCGATCGATTTCAAATTTGGGTAATATAATCTACGTAACTAAAATTACAACTTTGCATTTAACGATTTTTAAAATATGCATTTTACAAATGCAGGCAGAACAAACAATACAAAATATCAAACAGTTGGGGACAACTAAGTATACATACACACACATACATACAAGCAGCTGTTCGTGTAGTTGCGTGCAAACGGTTGAAGTAGCCAAAGCAAAATGTGAGACACTAATGTGTGAATGTTCATTTGTACACATGTATGTACATACATATGTATAAAAGTATATTCGTCTTGCACTGACAGGGCAAGAAATGTTAATTAATTAAAAATTATTAACATTATAACATAAACATTTTTATGTTATTTTTTCTTTGTTTAGTACATTTGGCATAAGGGGTTTTTAGGACAACGGACTACAAGGGCGTACGCAGGTTGGGCAGGGGGGACATTGCTCCCCTTAGAAAGAATTTCGCATTATGAATTACACCAGCACCATATGTATTACATACGTACATACATATGTACATACGTCTGTATGTATAGTATGTACATATGTACATCAATAAGTATGTATGTACGTACATACATTCTTATATACATACATGTATATAGATTTGTAAGTATGCAGTGGGCCATCGAACACTGTTGTTTAATTGTAATAAATAGTGTTCTATGTTTTCAAATCAATATTTTTAAAACAACAACAACAACAACAAGTTATTGGCTCGCAAATCTTCTTTCGTTTTGATAATTTACGGCTGTTAATTGCATACGAAAAATGCCAAAAGTTTACAGTTACAGTACACATACAAATACATTTGTATGTATGTATGTACATATGTGTACAGTGAACAATCGAATACAGTATTATAATCAATAGCTCTCAAACGATGTTTTTCGATGTATTTGTATTCTACATGTATTACGATATATCAACACAAGTATCGATATTTTCGATATATCGCATTTAATTTTATTATTGGGGTTCTAATATTTATTCACTTTTTCAAATGATTAGTTTGTGTTATAAATTTTGTCCGATCGATTTCAAATTTGGGTAATGTAATCAACATAACTATATCAACAAATTGGCATTCAACGATTAAAATATAGCAATATGTTTTTTACTTGCTATATATCAAATATCAAATAGTTGGGGACATCACATACACACACTCACACATACATACAACAAGCAACAGTTCGTGTCTATGTGTGCATACAAAACAACAACAACAACTTCAAGTTCTTGGCTCGCACATCTTTCGTTTGGACCAATTAATGTTAATTGCAAAGGCAAAACGCCAAAAGTTTACAGTTACCGTCGCTAAGCAACGACTGCGTAAGCGATAGTAAAGCAGAAACCGAATAACGGAGCTACGCATATTCTGCTTCGCATTGCGGGCAGATGTATGTATGTATGTATATGATTTGTTCTTATTGATCTCAATAAATAATTAGATTTTATTATTTAAATATTCTGCTTATTGCATTCAAACTTCGATATTTTGATGGTGTCGGTGGCTTCAACTATCGAAAGTTTTACTCTAGCAAATTGAGATGAGAATTGTCAGTGCTTTTTGATCGTGGCTCATCGCTGCACGGCATTGACACGAGTGCCGTGTTTCATATTCCGAGCTTGTGCGTGACCGTATTGACTCAATATGGCACGAAAAGACTCAAATGTGAAGTTAAAATTAGGATATACCCTTATAATTATTCCCCTTTTTTGCACATAGTCTATCTTAAAACGTTGCGTTATCTCTATATATAAAACAGTTTGTCCTGACTAATTGGTGATCAACGCACAGCCCAAACGGTAAAAGTTGAAATTTGGACTCAAGTATCCTTTCATAGTATCCATCATAGTGTAGGAGCACACTAAAAAAGGCTTTTGGGAAATTCTAGCTCCAAAGGGGGAAAACGAGCTTTAAAAAATATTAGTTTAGTGGTCATGTTCGTTGAACGAAATAGTTTGGCAAGAACAAAAATGTAACGGACTACTGAACAATCTTTTGTCAAGAACAGAAAATGTTCACTTAAATACCTTAAATGCCTTCCTACTGGTAACTTATAAGGTGAAAACATATGGGTAGGTTATGCACACACAAAAGAAATACAATTGGAAACATTATATTGAGCCGGGTTAAGACGGGCAATACCTGCTAGTTAAATATAAATAATATGACATGAATAATAGCCATTGTTTACTAATAATATTTTTTAGTAAAAAAAAAAGAACTTTATACAACATACGATTAACCGTAACTCATGCTTAATACAAAAGTTTTAGAGAATTTTATCCTCTACAGCTTTGTAATATGTGCAAATCTCATCCAAGGCATAGGAAGCGATATATGCGAGATATATGAGAAAGCCCGATTACAGTGACCTTTGACCTTGAATATTGACTTTTGAGGCAACATATAGAATGCCAAAACAAAGGAGTATACAAATTTTCAGCGTATTATCTCAAATTCCGAGGCTGACCCCTTTTTTTTGTCGAAGATGACTGGGCTACATATGAATTATGAATATTATGAATTATTGATTAGATTTTTTGGAGTTCTACATACCTTTAGATCTGCATCCGCTTTTGTCCAATCTCCGGATAGAACATGCTCTCTGAACTTCGTAGCCGATGGGTGCTCCAGATAGCAGCCAGACTCGTTCATTAGCATCTTTGCCGATTTGTCCAGCCCTACGTCGTGCAAGTACTGACCTATAAGTCGTATAATCTCTTGATTTGACTTATCCAACTGTACGCCACTAAAGGTGTTTTTTTCTTGGTTGTTCTCCACGTCCACGATACTGTTGCCATTGTTGTTGGGAGTGAATCCATTTTGTTTAAGATCGTGCCCATTCGCATTGTTCGTATTAGCACTACTAGATGTAAAGGGGAGATCATTTGCAGCGTTACTATTACTGCCACTGTTGCCTCCATCCTGATTTCTTTCAACTTGAGTCACATTATTAATGCCAGTCAAAGCCGAGTCATCTGAAGAACCGGCTGCAGAGCCAGATTCAGCCGATGTGGACGTCAAAGCTGAAGAATTTTGCATCATCCTTCCCTGGTCACTTTCCATTGGATTCGTCTGCGCTGTTTCGGAATTCCGCTTATTTACGGCAGCAGCAAAATCTTCACAATTTTGTGTGTTTATTTTATAAATAGAGCTTGTTGGTGGTTTCTCGGCCAAACTTTGCAAAAGTTCTTGGGCTGCTCGTGACGTCGAAGCTACGCTGGTTACTATTGCCGCGGTCGCAATGCTGTTATCGGGTTGCTGTGTACTGTTCACGGCCGCAACCGGAGTAGAACCTCTTGAGCGACGTCCCTTTTTGCGCGGCGGCTGGTCCTCGGCTGAGGCACCAGTTGCAGCCTTTTTGTTATTTTTATCAATTTTGAGTACTTTTTGAGAACCACGCGGCAACAAGCAGCCCTTCTCTCCCCCGCAATTTTATGATTGCGTTTAGATAATTTGAAGCAACCCGCAGAATATTGAAAAAGTTAGGTATAGAACAACTTGATCGACTTTTGATATCTATGTATATTTTCCATATGTAAATATTAAATTAGATTTAAATCGCGTATTGTTCTAGAGCTGCCAATTAGTAAAACAAAATTCAGTAGAAAAAATTGAATTAATATTATCATTATATTAATAGAATGAAAAATACTTAATGTTCTTAATATTTATACTAACATTTATTGTTTAGTCTGTGTCAGCTTATTTTACATCTAGTACAATATATATTTTAAGTCAGGTAGCTTTCGAAGGCAATGAATGTAATACTTTTATACGATATTCCCACTGAGATATAACAGCTTTCAGTAGATTTTGCAAGGGGCAACAGATGTTAAAAACTTTCTTGAGTAAGCATATAGCATTTATAACATTTATAACATTTTAGTTGATGCCCACCTGATAATGTAACACCCAGGGAAGCGGACTGATTTAAACGTTATGGAAAACTTACAAGGTGTGTTCCAAAGCAGGGTTCGTAAAATGCGGGCAAATCCCGTTCGGGTCCGCGAGAAATTTTGCCGCGGGTATTTTCGGGTCGCTGCCGACAGAGGCCGCTGGTACGATCGGGTCGTACATATGTATGTGTGAAATTTGTATGATGGTATGCTTGTGTGTATATATTTCAAGGTAAAATGTGCGCGATGCATTTCATCCCTTATAGCCTCACTCAGCAGATTTGTCTGCGTTTGCATAGTGGTACCTGATACTAGATTTCTGAATGAATGTCTTTCGTTTTTTTGGCTATAGGAAATAAAAAGATCATTTGCAAATAAATAAACTTGTTTCTAAAATATTTTTTACTATTCGAAAGAAATTTCGTTTATTAATTCCGCATTTAGTTTCGCTATTAAAATATCGCTTAGTACATTTGGACACGACTTATCACAGATTTTTGGCACATCTTGCACGTCACAGTTTTACTACTACTGCTTTCCACTAACAAAGAAGTATTTAAATATTTGGTAAGTTTGCCCATTTCACTATTTTTAAGTTGTAATGCGTCTTCAACACTTTCAATCTTGTAAAAAACTGAATAACTGCCCCGGCCAACATCCTTTTAAATAGAAACAATGGTAACAAAAACAAATCTTTACGTCTTAATTTACATACGTATGTGCACCTCCATAAAAATACACTAGCATATGTGAATCGCTGCAGGTGCCGTTATGTGAATGAAGTATACGAATTGACTGTAGGTTTTATTGGTATAGGAGTATATAGTAAAAAAGTGCCTTTAAATTACGCCAAGTTGCAACGCCACGGATCCTTAAAAACAGTATCAGGTACCACTGTGCAAACGTAGGCAAAACAGCTGCGTCAAGCTGAAACGGAGTAGGCAGCAGGTACAGAGTGAAAGAGATCGCGCACATTTCGCCTTAAAAAATATATACACACAAGCATACCATAAGACAAATTTCACACATCACACATACATGCCTGCCTACCACGAACGAGCGCTCTGCTACTGCAGACCGGCTCGTACGACACTGCTGCTGTCGGCAGCGACCCGCGCCGAAGCACGGCGTACCCGCACGACCCGTTACCTCGCCAGACGACCCGATCGTACTCGCCGCCTCTGTCCAAACGGGTTGCGAGCACATTTTACGAACCCTGTTCCAAAGTAAACAGGACTTTAAAAAGTAGAAAAGGTAGAAGTCGCACGGTGCCATATCAGGTGAATACGGCGAGTGGTTAATTGTTAAAATGGTCAAATAATCGGTCACAAGCGTCGATCGATGAGAGCAATTTTTGGTCGTCAGTCAATTTGTGCGGAACAAACCGTGCACACCTTTTCGTAAGCCCAAATGCTAGGTCAAAATGCAATAAATCGATGTTTTGGAGATGTTCAATTCCATTTCCATCAATTTCAATGATGATTTCGGCTGATGGAATTTTCGGTGATCACGAATTTTGATTGGCCCACATGTTGATCGTCATTTATGTCCTCACGACCACTTTGAAAACGTTGAAACCACTCGTGCACTCTGCTACGGGATAGGCAATTATCGCCATAAACTTGTTCCATCAACTGAAACGTTTCGGTAAAAGTTTTACCAATTTTAAAACAAAATTTAATGTTGGCTCTTTGTTCGAAGCTCATTTTCGCACCGATAACACAAACATACTGACACTTAAAACGCAATAACTTCACTTCCAATCGATGAAATGTCATGAAATTCTCACTGGACAATCGATAAAAATAGCAGATTCTAACGCACCAGTCGACATATAGATTCAAAAAGTCCTGTTTATTTTCGAACGCACCTTGTATAATAAATCTGAATTTTTAACAATATAAGTTTAAAAGAGTTTTCTAGCAGGAATAGATAATAATTACACCAGAAAAAAAAATCAAAAATTGGTTGAATCCACGTAATATATATACATATATTCCACAAAATATATATATTCTGGATCACAGTGACAAATCGAGTCGATATAGCCCTGCCTGACTGTCCGTCTGAACACCTGGATCTCAGAGACTATAAGAGCTAGAGACACCAAATTTTGCACAAAGATGCCTTATGTGTGTGCAAGTTTGTTTTATTTTTTGATTTTTATAGTCTGTACCCGAAGGGTGAAAGGCTATACTAGTTTTCTGCGAATGTATGTAACATACAGAAGGAGGAGTGGCAGACGCCACAAAGTATATACATATATTATTGATCAGGATGACAAGTCGAGTCATATATAATCACTAACTGGATGTGACCACCAAATTTTAGTTAACAATTTCAAGAATTACGGGAGTTATATAAAATCGTGAATAAGGGGAGGAGTGGGGGGATGCATCAGAAAAAATGAACAAACTCGTCCTTTCTCGGGCTCAGGAGAATCTGGATACCAAGTTTAGTAATTCTAGCTTTATACTTTCTGAGATCTTTGCGCTCATACAGACAGACGGACATGGCTATATCGACTCGGCTTGTCATCCTGATCAAGAATATATATACTTTGTGGGGTCTGCCACGCCTTCTTCTTTGTGTTTTTTGTATATATGTATTGAATAATTTGTATTTAATTTAATTAAATAATGTAATTAATAAAATTTTTTTAAGTTAATAAAACTTCTTTTTTTTTTGACTTAAAAAAATTCAGAGTTCGCATTTCTTTTCCAAAAGGTATTTCTTCGATGGAATATATGTATATACACACCACACAATATGAGTTCAATCGTTTTTTTTTTTTTTTTTTTTTTTTTTTTTGATTTAGCACCCCCCGCCCGATAATGGGATTTTTCATAATTTTCCTACTTCCCCCTTTCCACCGCAATTACCAATTTTCAATTACTCCCGTAGTTCTGAGGCTGAGCTTTGGCAAATACTTCCAATTACTGATCATGTGCCTGTGTGCCCAATTATGGCTATAACATCACTTCAAATTGACCTATCATGAAGAAACTTGGCATACGGGAGTTACGAATATCAGTAATTGTGCGGTAGGCGAGTTGATGAAAAAAATTATGAAATGAACATTTTCTGCGTATTCTGTAAACCAATTTAGTGTCTAGCTCTTAGAGTATCCGTGATATAGATGATTATACACATGTGTATTTGGGAACTTTTCTCCATTCCACCACTCCGTAGCTGTTGTTGTTGGTGCTGCTTTGGCTATACTGCGCACATGCTCACACACAGGCATGCATAGACATACATACATAGGTGCAGAGTATATTAAAGTCGGGGAACTCCATTTGTATTTAATATTTATTTAAAACAAGTAAAAAAGCTAAAGTCGGGTGTCCCGACTTTGAAATACTCTGTACATATGTTTACAATAATTATAAAAAATAAAAACAAGAAAGGAATGCTAAAGTCGAGCAGGCTCAACTCTTAAATACCCTGTACCACCCCACAAAAAAGTAATTAAATTAATTAATTTAATTAAATTAATTAACTAAATTAATTTAATTAATTAACTAAATATTAACTAATTAAATATAAAATATTCCATGCATGCATCACAATCGTGCCTTATGCGTGTTTGTGTACTTGTACATATGTATGTATGTGTGCATTGGGCCTGGTTATATGGCTATAACTTTCTTTCCGATCATTCTATCATAATGAAACTTGGTATACGGATATATAATTACTAACCTAATGTGACTACCAAAATTCCAAGAATTACGGAAGTTATAGAAAATCGGTAATAGGGGGGGAGTGGGGGGGAGGATCAGAAAAAATGAACAAACTCGTCCTTTCTCAGTCTCAGGACTAAAACAAACTCGTATAGAATACACACATAACGCATCTTTGTGCAAAATTTGGTGTCTCTATCTCTTATAGTCTCTGAGATCCAGGTGTTCATACGGACGGACACACAGACAGACAGGGCTTGATCGACTTGTCTTGTCACGCTGATCAACAATATATATACTTTGTGGGGTCTGCCACGCCTCCTTCTGCCTGTTACATTTTTCGGCTTGTACATTTCATGTACAGAGTATAAAAAAAAATTAAATACAATTTAGTTCAACAAAAATGGTATAGCTTCAAACTATGTGTTTGTGCATGTGTGCAGTACTGAGCTGAGCCAAAGTAGCAACCACAACAGCTGTTGCTAGAGTATGGGCAGGGATTAATCTTATGGGATCTTCATTTAAAATTGTCTATCTCGATAAAGCTCGATACACGGATACTTAAGCAACATAACAGGTTGTAATTGCCAAATTTCAATTATTAGAGTTATGGAAAAGCATTTTTATCAGGGAAGTGGAAGGAAAATTATGAAATTCACTTGTACTGCGTATACATACATATAAGGTATCTGTTTGCGGGGGGTGTGGGCAGTGGGGTGGTGCATTATAAAAAACTGGTACATTTGTATTTATATACATACATATGTATAAGGCATTGGGTGCCTCTAGGCCTGAGATCCAGGTTTTCATACATAAGAACAGACAATGCACGATCGAGTCATATTTCATTCTCATTTTTACACTTTTTCACTACGCACAAATTAAATATACTCTTGTATCTTTCAGGTGCAGAGTATTACATTCTTATCAAAATGTATTTACATATGTACATACATACGCCAGCAAGTACATACATAGGTACATATGTGTAAAT